AGATGAGCATCATTCATTCTAAAGTCAAATTGAAATGCTTGACTATTCTCTGATTCTAGAGTTTAATTTTCTTGAATATGAAAAATAGTATAAAGAATGTATGACTATCGCGCATAAGATGCTTCCAGAAATATGCCATTAATAAAACATTGCAGTGAAAAATGTAACGTCTTTATTTGTCAAAAAAAGACACACCCATAAACACTACCCTTCCAAATATGAATCTAAACACTTTTTTTTTTTTTTTAAATCTTTTTGTTTTTAGGAGAAAAAATTGATTTGTAAATAAACTTGGTATGCCACATACTTTGAGGTTTGGATAGAAAAATAATTCACGGAACTAATTTAAGTAAGGTAAGTGGACTATTTTATTTATATACATAAAACTCACAGTATCTGAGAGAGAATGACAATTAACTGTATGAGAGTACTGAAAAAGTACTCTGACTGCCCCACTTCAATAATCTGACCAATCAGGATTTGTTTTTGGGATCTGTTCTTGGTCAAGCAGAAAACTTTTCATCACCACAAATTCAAGAAAAAGTATAGCAAAATCACTTTACAGATGGGAATTTCAGGAAGCATATTGTTAGAGGGCGTAATATGTGGAATAAGTTAGCATCAAAATTAATATTTCTGTCTTTTACTGAATCACGTTTTGTATAATTCACCAATGAAAGAATCTGCAACCAAACATGCTCATTGATATGTCAATCAGAAAGAGTCATGGGATGGAAACAAAATTGGAGAAAAAAAAAGAAAAGAAAAAAGACACTTGTTGCAAGGCTGATGTGACAAAGTTTGTTGTAATTAGAAAGAGAAAAAAAAAAACATGAAGAAAGTCAGTGTGGGATTTTCATTACATTATTTTGATGGCAAAGTAACCAAATGAAAAACACTTGTAAGCCAAGTCAACATTGAAATGAAGTGAAAATATTGGACAATTGAGACCAGAAAAAGCCTTAATCTTTTAGCTGAATCCTCTGTTTTCAACATTGGATCAAGTACAATATGCCCCTTTAAGCCATAGCAGATTTGTAAAAAAAAAAAAAAAAGATATTAAAATTGAAGTATTGGTCATTTAAAGTTTCTTGAAAACTTATCCATTCTGCTGGAGGACCTTTTTTTCAATATTCACCAATATTTAAACAAAAATAACATTCCTTTCATAATGGCTAGAGTTCACATGCACAGACTCTGGAATAGCAAGTCAAAAAGATTTAATGATGCTCATAAATTCCTCTACAAAAATTTTTTTGTTTTGAGCGCAGTCTCATCAGGTACTTGAGAAATTTACTGATTTGATGTCTGCACAAAAAAAAAAAAAAAAAAAAAAAAAAAAAAATACATTAGTTCATAATAAATCCACTAAATTGTAATTTAGTGTCAAATGTCCATAAAGGTGTATTTACTTGTCATATCTCTGTATATGCATATTTTTCTAAGTCATGGATAAATTTTGTCTGACATTTCCCCACTAATCCTAACATTATTTTTTTGAGTAGAAGCTTTGCCTTGCTTTTTTAAAAAGCAATGCAAATTACATCTGCACGTTCAAGACTTAAAAGAGATGCTAGAGAGCATATTTCTTTCAGTCTCGAATACACAGGCCAACAGATGTGTTTAACTGTTTAAAGGATCATAATCTCAAGCCTGAGTATCTGCAAAATAAGGTTTGGTGTAGTATGAAATATGCACATATAAAGACGAGCATTTTGGACTAATACTTCCATGTCACAACTGATTAATCTGCATCCTAAATTCTTAAAACTCACCAGCAAAAATCAGACTAGAATTCTTTCCAGTCAAACTTGTGACTCACACTATAACCACTGGCCATACACACCGAATATAATCAAATTGATTGGAGCCTGTTTAACAAAGGATAAAACTAAATAAAAGACAGGGTTTAGTGAGAGATTAACTAAGAAAGCACACACATATACAAATATTACACAGTACAAAGGCATCATGGCTGGCAGATTGATCACAAAGAGTAAGGTGTCACAAGGGGGAGAACCCTTGTAAAATTGTTATTGGCTCCAGTAGATCAGGCATTTAAAAAGAAAAAAATTGCCATTATTTTATTTATTCCTGTGTTCTAATGTGGCAAAAATAATTCATAATCTCTTGAAGAATATATATTATAACTACAATGAAATAGCAGTTATTTGTACGTTACCCCACCATTTAAAATTTCAAGGGAGATAACCAAGATTGCAAATCGTAGTTGCCTCCCCTCCTTGAATATTGGTATCCCACTCCCATCAGTGTCACTCCAACAAATATAAATAATGAAGCGGAAAGAGAAAAGATGATCAGGAGAGTAGACAGCGACTGATATTGCACTTAAAGTAGACTATATTACTTTAATCTCTCTCAAATAAAAATGTCCAGTAACAATGAACCTTAGATACGTTCGATAAACAAGATGTCAGCATAGAAATATTGGACCTAATAAATTTGAAGAAACTTACGTTCCTAGTTGGATTAGATAATGTTGTACTCCCTACTGGTATCAACATTATTCACACCAGGATTTCAAATGAGGATTCAAAAAGGTTTGTCAAAATTTTAGTCTTTGATTGCATGCTGTTGTAACTCGAAATTGATCTAGAGACATTAATAGATGAGCTTGGACAAGTTGAAAACGGCCTCTAAAAAATATTGCAAATGGTACATAGAAGGAAAAGAAACCTCATCTATTTTCCCAGGAAAAAGTTTTTACATATGTACACATTGGCAATTAAATTTCTAAATGTGTGCATACTATTTGAGGAATGAAGTAGTAACTCATTCCACCGGCATCAAGTCAGTACTTAACTCAGATTTTCAAATATTTATCAAGGTAGAAAACTGGTGCCATATAATGTTCTTGCATTGTATAAGTCAACACAAAATTACATTGAATTAATGCAAGTTGCAATTCATTAACAAAATAGAAATCTCAATTTTGTCTTATTGGTATTGTTAATTGACTTCATAACCAATATAATGAGTGGTGTGCTGAAAAGCTGCAACATGACAACAATTTATTTTAGAATTCCTACTTGGTTGGACCAAACTTAATACAATCAAACATAATGCTGTAAAATGTGGTTATGCATGTCAAAACTTCAAATAGTGACGCAAGCAGAGTTTTGTCTGTTTACAGCAGCAGAATTGGAAAAATGAACAAACCCATACCATATAAAACTATGAAGACAGTGCGTCCAACTGCCGACTACTGAACACATGTAAACAGTTTACATATATTGGCATACAGTTTTCCTTTATTTTTCAACTCCATTATAGCTGAACATTATTCACATTTTGCTGAATTTATCATGTCTGCATTGAATGTATTCTTAACATTACTGGTTCCAGCTTAAACAAAATTAAGCAACATTTTATCAGGTTGATAGTAAATGATGGGTAACTACTAGAGATTTGTATTTTTATACAAAGCTGAAGGTAGTTCATTATAAAGAATTTCCCTTCTCATTGCTATATATAAACTACAGCTTTTCTTTTAATAAATCTCAACCAAACACTTGATAAAATGATGCCATCCTATCAACTGATTTTCAGGTGAAAAGATTTTTTCCCCCCTTTCATATTTAAATATCGATTAGCTTCAACACTAGTGACAATCAACTCTGCAGTTGTAACAAAAAATCAAATCTTAACTTGGAAAAAGAACGTTTTGTGCTGAAAAAAAAAAAAAAAAAAAAAACCCTGACTCCTGATCAGGTTGAATTTAGCAGGCCTCAAAATAGAGTTAATTGCTTATGCTTCCAGTCCTGACTAGTTACAACTGTTCTGGTGCCAGTAAAAGAAAGCTAATTTAGACTTTAGGTCTTTGCTACTCATGGATAAAGAGATAGTTGTTGTGATGCAAATTGTGATTATTATTTTTTTTATTTTTATTTTTTTTAAAACCTTTTGGGTATTTTCTGAGTCTTTGTGAGAGTGATATTTTTTTTTTTTTAGCCTTGGACTTATGATTTTTATCTGAATTTCCCTATTGCAATTTTCCTCAGTTTATAATTGTTCAAAGATGCTTACATGAAGAGCAAACGTTTCCTTATGCAGGCGAAAGAGGCACAATATACTTTATCAGACAAGTTTGTAAATGATCTTTATTTCCCACAAAGAGGAAGAACTGCATAAAAAAAAAAAAAAAAAAAAAAAAAAGCAATAGGCATAGTCCTTTCCTCAATACTGTCAAATTTGTTCAGTAAGGCATGTTCATGATCCAAGTTATAGTCTAACACTGCTTGATAAGAGGTCATGATTTAAAGCCCAACAATTTTCATTTGAGTGTAATGATGCCAAGTTCAATCCTTATTGGGTGCTCCATAAATGTGCCCTCATATCATACTCAATGCAAATTAGAATCTAAACTAACTTGAAAACTTAATTGCATCACCTTTCATCATATTTTAGAAAATGTTGTTCAGGAATCAATCTCTGAAACAAAAGGGCCCCAAAAATCCATTGGGAAATTTATATGCTACATGGCAAGAGGATTTTTGTTTCAATGCAGAGTAGTTTCTTCAAAATCAAAACAAAGCCCCATTTTCACATTATCTATTCAGTCACAGCCAACAATATCTAATAAGTTAGTGTCATCTTTATTTAGTTCCCATTTCAACACAAGAGAAAATATGAACTTGAAAGGCATCTCAAAAGGATAAAAAGAATAAAAAAAAAAAAAAAAAAGCATCTACAGTGAATGATGTAACCCAAAGCCTCTTTCATTAACTATACCGATTTGTAATACATTGCAGCATTAGCAAACGTACATCAACTGATGTTCTCTTAAAATGTGGACGGGTAACAAATAGTCAACCAACAAATGTTTTTGTGGAAAGAAAACAATATATTTTAGTTCACAACCTCATGGGATCAAAGGGAAAGGGAAATGAAGTGAGTGAGTGAAATGGACTTATCACTTTCAATAGCAGGGTCTCTTGTCATTTATGGAGCGGATGTTTATCAATCTAAAGGAAACAAAATCAGAGAGAGAGAGAGAGAGAGAGAGAGAGAGATAGAGAGAAAAAAAAGAAAAGAAAAAAGAAATACAAGCACAAATAATTATCAAGAAGTCGGATCATTTTTGTTATCTTTAGAATTGGATATTGTTTTAACTTTTTCATTTGTTTACTTTTTTTTTCTCCTTTTTATTTATTATTTCGTGCAAACCAGACTGCGATGACCAGGTAAAATATTGGGTTTGTTGCACATAATAAATCTTACTGCTCAGGACTTAAATACATTTTGTCAAAAAAGTTTCAAACAATGAGTCAATGTTTTATTTGGATTTGTTGTCTTCATAATACTTTGCTTTTTGGGATTTGGTGTTGCAGTTGTTGCTGTTCAAGTATTGAGTCAACTCAATGGGACAGTCCTTTATGCAGCACATGAATAGAAGAGGAGGAACTTCGCATTGCCAACTAATATATAAAATGCGTGTTGGAGGGGAAGGGGCATCTTTACAGAAAAATCAGAGCAGCCTTCATTGTAGAGTGGAGAGTAAGAGAGTGAGGGAATTGAAGAGGCTACTGGATCAGCAAGCGAAAAAAGTTTCCAGATTATATGAGTAAGCAAGCTAGATTGAAGACAGAGAGGAAAGAACCTGGAGATTGGCAGATAAGATTAGGGTGGTGAAGGTTGGAAAGAGACCAGAGAACAGGTTGGGAAGAAGAGGGAATAGGAGAGGGAATAGGAGAAGAAAGGAGAAAAAAAAAAGTGGGGGCACCCTAAAACTATCTGTAGAAAGGCATTTGCAGGTTTGTATAGAGAGAGAGAGAGAGAGGAAAATTTGAGAGATGAGCAGAGAAGAGGAATGGGTTTGTTCCTTTTTTCTGTTCAAAGAATTTGAAGGATTAAAGCAAATTGGATCTGGGAAAGAAGGGATTAACAGAGAAGGTTTTTTCTCTCTCCTCTGATAGGAAAATAAGAAAGATGGAAGTAGATAAATACATAAGAGGAGAGTGTAGTGTTCTTATTTCAAAGCTCTTTTTGTTTTTATTAGTTTTTCATCTTGTTAGTTGACGATGGGAACTGGAGGAGCACTGAGTGCAGCAGACAGGGCATTCCGTTGAGAGTCAGACATTGTAGCAATGCAGGCATTGAATAAATCAGCATTGGTCTGGGAAGAAAGAAAACAAAAAAAAAAAATAATTTAGAAAAATAATAAAAAACAAACAAACAAACAAACAAACAAACAACCAGACATATATATATATATATATATCTATCTATCTCCTGCATTACTTTTGCATAAAATTTACATATTACACACTATATAACAAAAAGTTGGAAATGTAACTGGAGTTTTTAAAAATATTTCAAGTTGTATGATTTTCAAAAGTTAGAGATATGTGTAGCTATGCTATGGTATGTCTGTCTCATTTGTGCAAAGGCACACATACAACCATATTCAATACAAGTACAAATCTTGTAACATCACTTGGTTTGTAGATTTTACAAGTATGGGAATATTTAAAAGATTTAAGATCAAAGTAAAAAAGTTACTTAATATAATAACTCTGCATCAAGACTGGAATGCTATTAAGCTCAGACTCATCTCAAACACAACATACTTTTCATCCACAGAAAAGATCCCTTGTTTGCAAGATCTACAGTAGCCACAAGTTTGCAATATTATAATAGGCATGACTATAATTTCAACTTAAAGAATGCAGTTTTGATTAAGAGAAAAAGTAATCTATTAAGGCAGAAATATATTGAAAGTACACTAACTTCAGAAGCCTCCAAGGCAAATTTATGTTTAGTATTATGTCTTCTTTCCTTGCAAATGTACTGTTGATACAGCATGGGATAAATAAAAACAAGAAAAACCTCAACAAGACCCTGGAGTAAGATAACCCAGTTGCATAGATGTTTCCAGTAGGATATTCTTATGTAAAACCTCCAATCTTATGCCACATCAAACATCTTCAGTCAGTTTCTGGATTATGGATGTGATGATTTAGTGTTATGCAAGCCACACCTAACTGTAAACAAATGCACAAGCAAAATTCATCTAATATCAGAGATATTGTCTCTAGTAAAAGGACTTGTGCAACAACTAAGAGAACTTCCATGTGGAGTGAATAAGAGCCCAATATCTCCTTCCTATGCATATCTTGGAAACCATTTTATGGTAGCAGCAAGGTTTTCACTTTAAAACCAAAATTGCACCCAGGCAACACGTGTTGCGCCCTGCCATTACCCAGGCAACACGTGTTGCGCCCTGCCATTACCCCAGTCGGCTATTTCTGTTTGACTACAAGGATATGGGCATGTGGCTGAGTGCTTAAAATGCTCACTTCCTGACTATGAGACCTGGGTTCAAATCTCACAATATCAGGAAGGTCAATTGTTGAAGTTATCAGTATGGTGGAGACAATCCCAGCATGTGAGCATGCTGGCCTTGTTCAGATTGTTGATCACACTAGAAAACGTGCTTCTCTCCCAGAAACTCTAACTAAGCTCTGCATAGTTGCAGTATAAGCCACAGGTAGGCTCTCTGGGTGTTGAACAAACACAAAATGCACATGAGCAAGCATCTGCAATAGGGATTAGTTAGTCATCCTAGTAGGCAAGTATCCTCAGAAATGAGTGGCCAGCAATTAATGTAACAAGGATAGACCTGTAATAGCTTGCCTATCTCCTGTCCACAAAACTGAGAAAAAAATGCCGTTTGGTTTTAAGGGAGAAGAAAGAAGAAGAAAAAAAAAAAAAGCAGACAGGAGTCAATAACACAATACTTAATGTCTCCACTTCAGTGAAATGGGAAAACCTCAATTTTTTATCTTTTCATTTGTACCCTTTTACTTTAAATAATGACCTGCATTCATATTTGATTGAAATTGTAATATTTTGCTCAAGTTGTTAAGCGCAAATATTTAACAAGTCAATAGGGAAATTTCCTTGAAAATTTTATTTTAACTCATGGCAGGGCGCAACACGCGTGCTGAGGTAATGGCAGGGCGCAACACGTGCTAACTAAGGAACAAACAGAATAATATAATGTTTGTCATGATTGAACTATTTCCAAAGCAATTGTATATGTACTGTAAATTCTATATTGAAAAAAATGTTCCATAACTTGAGTGTATTTTAAAGTCATCATAACACTTTAAATGACTTATTAAACTGACTCCACAAAGCATTACATTTAAGAGTAAGCTAACAGTCTACAATGCCTGTATTATTTCCACCCTACTACATTTGTGTGAAATGCTGGTCCCCTGTCAGATAAATAAAACTTAGGTTTTCATCAACACAGCATTAGAAAAATGCCAAATATTCATTGCCTTACCACATTCTAAACTTGTCAATCTACAAAGTCACTCAATATGTGGCAATGACATTTGGTAAGACTTAAGGAGGCTCAGAGAATGTTTTCTTAGGCAAATGAAGAATGTAAAAGCAGTAAGCAGTTGCAACACAAGCCCAGGAAACATAGACATTCCTTATTGGACTCACTTTCTCTAGTCTATGTAGAGAACCATGATGAGAGATAAGTGTACAAAAACAGAGTGGAGAAAGGCTCTACATTTTGGAGTCGTTCCTTAATAAAACAAAGTGCAAACATAAGGAGAGATTGTATCGATGTGACTGCGACTCAAATGGTTTTGTAAAAAAAAAAAAAAAAAAAAAAAAAAAAGGTGGCATATCTCCTTAGCCTAAGCTAAGCTGAAGCCATGAATAGAGTCAGGTGTATGACCAGCAAATGTTACTGTCAATGGCAGGACATGATTTGTACATTGTTATAAGCAATGCAAGAACAAGCCTGACTGCTCCACAAATGGGAAGGAGGGACATATCAATTATGAAAACATAGCAGTAAGCAAATATTCCATTTATTACCAGTGTTAAGGGTTTTTAAAAGTCACTACAGAGCAATGAACCAGAAAAATGCACAATCATAGTGTAATAATGGGCATCCTTGCAATCAAGAGGACGCGTGTGCACACACACACACACACACACGGGTAGATGTTCTGTTTATTTATCAAAAAGTATATTTCCATCGACAGGCCTGAATATTCAAGAAATCTAGTTAGAAAAATATGCGTCCTCAGGCAGGATTTGAACCTGCGACCATAGGAGAAACAATTAGATCCAATGTGCTTTGACCTTGAAGAGCCTCCTGGTCAAACAAAGCCTAAATAGTGTTTTTGAACAGTTTTTTTTTTCCAGATTCGCAAGATGGCCTCACATCCAAACTCTTTATAGTTCACTTTCACCTTCGTCAGTGACCTGAATGAAAACTGACAATATAGAGATAAAAATTTGGCCGTACATGTGTAGACAAGTTGGTGGGTCTAATTGTGGATATGAAATCAAAGTGGTCTATCTTGTTAGGTGCACCTATATTCTGATTTTATACTGATAGGTACAATCCCTGTTGAATACAGGAAAGAGTTTACTGTCAAAATATTTGTAAAAATAAACCCATTTTATTGCAATAATGGAATTTCTGTATTGATTGGCTAATTTTACATATCTAACTGGGAGATGCTTTCAATATTAACTTTAAACAGCAAAGGCTCATTTCAGAAAGTGATTGTTCTTAATTTGTTTCCCTTTTTTTGGTGCTGTCAGCTCAAGCTGGTTAGACAAAATATGCATATAATGGATAACATACACTTTAGTAGAACACAGCCTTCAAATGCTTCAGGACTTCCATTATAATAACTTTTTACATCAAACTTACATTTTGTATGCACAAGCAGCATTTTTTAAAGGCTCCTGCTACCCATCTTTCATAAATACAGCAATTGGCTTCAATTGACAGTGATATTTCCAAGTTGCATTTTCTCTAGGGTAAAAATATTGCCTAAGTGTGTTAGATTCATATACATTAACCTTAATGCAATTACATACTCTGGTTATTTCTTTTGTTTTAGCTAGTTTCATTGAATACTCTCTACTGCACCCCATATTTACATGATTAAGTATTAAGGTTGGCTGATTCCAAAGCACTAGCAGAGTGACATGACTGCAAGTTTCATCCCTATTAAATATGCACATTTTCATAACCTTTTAGAACATTTGATACCAATTTTAACCAAGTTGGAATCTATACAAAAGACTATTTTCCAGATCTTCATTGCTGGTTACTTCTCAAAATAGTGTTTCTGACCAACTGAAAACAATTCAAATACCTAAAGTACTTACTTGCACTTGTCTGAGAATGTCCAACATCCTGTTATAAACTGGACAATCTGGTTTCAAGACTTGCTTATGGAAAACTGTGGCCATGATATCGAAAATTCTGGGAAGGTTGCTATTATTTTCTCCCAGGATGATCACATTATTCCTAAAAGTATGAAGTAAAACCAGAAAACTCAATTCAGTGATGACTTCGTCCAATCTTGATGAGGCCACGAGAGCACACAGTTCATTATTTACAAAAGAAACGTGATTGTTCCACAGAACAGTATCATTTGGTTAAATAAAAGGATTATTTAGGCTCCGCTATTCATACAAGAATGTTTATCTTTGTTGTACTCAGGTTTTGGCTATTGTCTTCTTCAGGTGTGTCACTGTACTTTACAACATCCTTGAAAATATTCAACTGAACCCTTTATTCAATCCATGGTTATAGATAATTCCAATTCTGCTTTCCATGCTTAGGAGATATGAAAGCACTTCTGAGAATAACAACTAAGATGAACATGCCAATGCAAATAGCAAAGCATATGAGAATTCTTTTAAAAAATTCTGACAATAGAATAGATAGGACTGAACTTTAACAAAGACAATCTCAACTAAATCTTCAATGTAATCTTTAAGTTAGACTACTCTGGAAATAATTATTTGAGAAAGATAAGAGATTATATCATTAAAACTAAGTTATGAATAACAAGAATCAAGAGCACATTTAAAAAAAAAAAAAAAAAAAAAAAAAAAAAAAAAAGAAAGATTAATGGCAAAGTTTTAGTTTTGTTCCCAATCAGTGTTGTGGCAAATTTTCTTCTGTTATGAATATACCTTATTAGTATTAATACCTTATTAGAAGACATCAACACTAATAACTTTCAGAAAATTTTTTTGAGTTAAAATGTTTTTTTAAGTCACCAGCAAAATTTGAAAAGATATCAGTAGAAAAAGAGAAATGGACTCACAATTGAATTAATTCACAAAGGTAGTCATACACATGTTCAGCCTCATCTTCGTCTTCATAGATAGGCAGCCAGTTTATCCAGTGAGGCAAAATATCATTGACATTGACATGGTTAGAACAGTATTTGCAGATTTTAGTTACAGCTGAAATGACGTTTTCAGTGGCATTGATGTTTTCTGGTTCCCGAGAATCAGCATGTTGAATCACTTCCACAAGAATTGGTAAGGATTCTGTAGAAAACAAAGTACTTGTAAACTAGAGAGGGAAAGAGAAAGAGAGAGAGGGAAAGAGAAAGAGAGAGAGGGAAAGAGAAAGAGAGAGAGGGAAAGAGAAAGAGAGAGAGGGAAAGAGAAAGAGAGAGAGGGAAAGAGAAAGAGAGAGAGGGAAAGAGAAAGAGAGAGGGAAAGAGAAAGAGAGAGAGGGAAAGAGAAAGAGAGAGAGGGAAAGAGAAAGAGAGAGAGGGAAAGAGAAAGAGAGAGAGGGAAAAAGAGAGAAGGGAAAGAGAAAGAGAGAGAGGGAAAGAGAAAGAGAGAGGGAAAGAGAAAGAGAGAGAGGAAAAGAGAAAGAGAGAGGGAAAGAGAAAGAGAGAGAGAGGGAAAGAGAAAGAGAGAGGGAAAGGGAAAAAGAGAGAGAGGAAAGAGAAAAAGAGAGAGGGAAAGAGAAAAAGAGAGAGGGAAAGAGAAAAGAGAGAGGGAAAGAGAAAAAGAGAGAGGGAAAGAGAAAGAGAGAGAGGGAAAGAGAAAGAAGAAAGAGGGAAAGAGAAAGAGGGAAAGAGAAAGAGAGAGAGGGAAAGAGAAAGAGAGAGAGGGAAAGAGAAAGAGAGAGAGGGAAAGAGAAAGAGAGAGAGGGAAAGAGAAAGAGAGAGAGGGAAAGAGAAAGAGAGAGAGGGAAAGAGAAAGAGAGAGAGGGAAAGAGAAAGAGAGAGAGGGGAGAAAGAGAGAAGGAGAGAGAGAGGGAAAGAGAAAGAGAGAGAGAGGGAAAGAGAAAGAGAGAGAGGGAAAGAGAAAAGAGAGAGGGGAAAGAGAAAAGAGAGAGGGGAAAGAGAAAGAGAGAGAGGGGGAAAGAGAAAGAGAGAGAGGGGGAAAGAGAAAGAGAGAGAGGGAAAGAGAAAGAGAGAGGGGAAAAAGAGAAAGAGAGAGAGGGGGAGAGGGAAAGAAAAGAGAGAGGGGGAAAGAGAGGGGGGAAAAGAAAGAGAGGGGAAAGAGAAAGAGAGAGAGGGGAAAGAGAAAGAGAGAGAGGGGAAAAGAGAGAGAGAGGGGGAAAGAGAAAAGAGAGAGGGGGAAAGAGAAAAGAGAGGGGGAAAGAGAAAGAGAGAGGGGAAAGAGAAAGAGAGAGAGGGGAAAGAGAAAGAGAGAGGGGAAAGAGAAAGAGAGGGGAAGAGAAAGAGAGGGGAAGAGAAAGAGAGGGGAAGAGAAAGAGAGGGGGAAGAGAAAGAGAGGGGAAGAGAAAGAGAGGGGAAAGAGAGAGAGAGAAAGAGAGAGGGAAAAAAAAAAAAGAAAAAAGAAGAAAAGCATGTGTAACCCATTTGTGAGAAATGATATCCCCAAAAGGACAATTTTTTCTTTTTCTTTACACCACATTACAGTATAATTTATTGACAAGATTTGTTTTAAAACCTATACTTAGAATTTTTATAACAAAAATATTATACACTATTTGTTAGACTGTTTATTTATAAATGTTTATAAAAATGTGAATATTCAAATTGGATTGCTTTGGCGAAGGTGCTTAGTGTACATTCTTCATCAGTCAATACTTGCTCACAATAGATAATCTGCAGTTTTTCTAGGCATGCTTCATGCAAAATTAATAATAAAATGTAGGAAGAGAGAAAATAAAATGCATGTTTGGAAAAAGTTCAGTCGTTTATATAATTTTGTAAATAAGGACTAACTAAATAATGTTTAACATTTTTGTTATTAAAATTCTAAACCATTTTAAAACAAACACTGTCAAGTAATAGCAGCATCAAGAGAAAAGCCAACCACTATTTTCACACCTTTTTTTTCAGGTATAAAGGTTAAACATTGCCCCATTTCCAATACCAACAAATACATTAAAGTCTTACTGATCAATCATGCTGTGTGTGATTCACTTTTTATGGCTTTGAATCAGAGAAAATATGTAAAATAATAAAGTTTTGCTGGGTGCTATTTTAATTACCACATATGAAAATCTTACAGCTGATAGTATACTTTTTGCTTATCAGCAAAGTTTTTACCGACTGATAATTTTAATAGCTTTTCTGAGAAATAGTGAAAAATTAAAAGCCAAATGGAATTGAAAAAAGAATGTGAGGTTACACCAACTCACCCACACAGACTTGATGAAAAGCAGGTTCAGCATACATGGCCATCACGCCAATCCCATATGAAGCAGCTTGGCGAACTTCTGGGTGCTTATCACAGATTGCCTGAACCATTTGGGTCACAAAGTAATCTCTATACTTCATAGCTTCCTGTAGAATTAAATCAAGGGAAAAAAAGAAATCTCGAATGACAAGATATACTTATGAAGAACTGGTAACATTTTCTAGTGATGGTACCACAGACTAATGATCAGAATTTTAGTATCAAAATGTAGCTTTATAAGATAAACTTTAAAATGAAAACTCAAATACTTTTGTTAACAACCTGCATATTCAAAATTAGATTTAGCCAGTAAAAAAAAAAAAGAAGATATTTATAAACTGGGAAGTGTTTGAAATTATCACATCCTGATGAAATGATATCGTGAGATTACAATTTGTAAGCAACGCATCTATCATTCAAAATTCATTAAAAAAAAAAAAAAAAAAAATTATTTCTTTAAGAATCAAAGTACTTACAACGTCAGCATGCTCCACTACATCATCCCAAACACACAATCCCCATTGTCGGTCAGCCCAAGGCCGATCAGGATTCTGAAAAATACATTTTACTATGCATTTTTAACTTAAGTATAAGGGAAAGTGAGCAAAATTGTTAAATTTAATCAAGTTAAATGTGTTTGTTGGCAAGTATATAGAAAATTTTCATTGTTTTTTTTTTTGTTGTTTTTTTTTAACACTTTAGTTCCCCTAATACAATAACCAAAAAGCCACTTAAAATAGAGGATTACTGTAAGAATGTCATAAGGGGAAAGTAAGAAGTGCCTATTATGAGTATATTTATATATTAATCATTTTACTCCCAAGCAAGGCAATAAAGCTACTAAGTTGCAAGGGCTTACCGAGTGTTAACATGAGAAAAATATACTATTAAAAAAAGACAATAAAAGAACTGCAATTAAGCCAAAAGATGATCGATATTGCATATAAATTTCTGAAGATCAAAGTTGACAGGGAAGCAAGAAGGCAGAAGAGCCCCAAGTGAAAAGTGTGAGGGAAGAAACTGTCAGCATAGAACTTACTATTACATCTAGCCATTTTAATTGTAAAATGATAAGACCTTGCTGCCAATTTACTATTGTGCTTAAATCCATAAAGTCCAAGTAGCATAAAGGAAAGTCCACCAGAACAACTACCATGAAAGTATTTATAGAAAAGACACAGAGAGAGATATACATTTGTTTATTAGCTCCATTCACAATCCAATGCTCACTCCCAAATTTAGCCACTGACTTTTCACTGACTTGGAGATGTTAAGAGTGTAGTAGTCAGGGAAGCAACCCTCGGGAATGTTTCACAAATAGCAATTCTGAGGAAGAACCTGTCTGAGTGGAACTTACTCCTTACCAAAGGAAACATGAAGAGAATGGGGATGAGTTAACACTGTATATGGCATGGCAGGTCCTAGCTGTGAAGGCCTCAGCTAATAAAACTAAGGAATGTTAACTTGTCTGAACATTTGCCATAGTAATAGCGGCAGAGTAGTGAGAGGCTAGCAATGTTTCATCTGTTGGATAAAATAATTTATCTTCCCACAAGGCTGTATAAATACAATTGTCAAGGTTGGCCAGTGAGAAATGGGAAGCACCAGCCCAGATATAGTAGCAATGCTCCATTCTTGGTCTGATTGGACTTTACAAAAGGATAGACTATGGCAGCAAGAGTTAAGTATTTTCTGGAGTGATACAAAGAACCAGCCATTCTTCTAACATCTTTAAGCAGTACCATCTGAGGCCTGGAGTGACCTTTAGACCCAATAGGCATTCAAGACAAGGAATCAAATTTGGGGGAAGGGGAGAGAGATAAAAAAATATTACAAGATGAATATTCAAATATATATTTTTATCAGCTTATATTATAAAGCTTACCTATAACTGTCCATTTTTGGGTTTTAACATTACTATAATTACTTGGATAATGTTATACTTCACAAAATAGTTAACCATTTTTAAATTTTAGAAAATTTAAAAATTGCTAACTATAAAAGGAATCAATTTTCAATTACCATGATTAAACTGAAGAATGTTTTACTGCACTAATTGATTATTATGTATGTACTAATTGAATTTTGGCATTAAAAAAAAAAAAAAAAAGAAAAAAGTTTTTAACCAAAAACATTAATCGAGGGATTCCTCGAGTGTAAATAATGATAATTCCTCATCCCAGAATTCAGACAAAAATTAAAGGAAAATGTTCTCCTTGATGACAACACAAGGACAAGGCTGTATACAGATTATATAAATCTATATATATTCAAATTCAGTCTGTTCTAACCCATAATCATCTGGCCTTGTATTTTCTTTCTGAATCACTGCAAAATGCTTTGTTCAGGAAAACTTTCTAATGAAAAACAAATTCTAGGGATTGTTGAAAACTTTAACATCAAAACCTATGATTGTTAAAATGTATTGCAGAGTTGCCTGATAAGTGGCAATAAATCATTGCAAATAATGGTGAAAATATTACACATAAAATGTAACTAATTCATAAACATAAAACGGAAATTATGATAATCTAATAATTAAAGACATATGGGAAAAAAAAAAAAAATTGATTGCAGTATATTAAACCCATCAACTTGCATTTGAAGAGATCAGTTACTCACCACTAGTTTACCAAAATGTTGTGACATGGTGTCAAAAATGGGGATGAATTCTTTTTTGTGTGTACCAAACAAAGCATGGATGATATCAGATATTTTGCTGAGTATATAAATATCTTCTTGGTCCTAAGGAGAAAAAAAAAAAAAAATTTTTTTTATTCAACATAAGATCAAAAGTTTAAATAAAAGTACAAGATAATTTAAGTAAGAAGTCAGTGTTAAATTATAATTCTTTTCCATTAACAAAAAATAAAAAAAATAAAAGAAAGAAGTCCTTTCAATTACAACTTCCAAGACAGTAGTTGTGACTTAAATGAAAATAACAATTGGAATCAAGACAGTAGGCATTACCTCCTCTTGCAACTCTTCTTCAGCCACTTCGTCATAATCTTCATCTTTTCTTTTCTCTAGAAAAAGAAAAAAGATTTTAAACAAGAATTAAGACATACATGAAAGGTTTTTGTTAGGGATTAGTTAGCTATTGACTGCAGAGTTTATATATATATATATATATATATATATATATATATATATATATATATATATATATATATATATAATTAATGGATTTATTTTTAATCCTACATTTTCATTACTTCAAACATTATTATGATTGGCATTTATTTGAAATAAACAACCATTTTTATTTATTAAACAATATGTAAATCAGTCTATGCATTTCTACGTAAAGAATACAGATCCAATCCCTGGAGAATGCGCACGCACGCACGCACACACACAGAGTACAAGGGACAAATTGTCACCATTCTATATTTTTAATCTCATACATACATGTTGGTGGTTTTTGTCAACAGTACAGTATAATAGGGTCAATTGGGTGCTTTTTGTGAGAAAAAGAGCACCATGACGCAATTCATTCCACCAGAAATTTGGAAACAGCATGCTCTACTACTTGGTGTTTGTGCAGAAGCTCCAATATGAACATTTTGGAGTGTTTGGGTGTCAATCTGAAGACATTGCAGATGACATGAAAAGAGTTAGATGAGCCTAATGGTGATTACAGAGGTGTTTAAAGTGATCACTAATGATGACAATGTCCTGCCTCCATTCATCTCCCTGGAGGGCTACAGACTAAACACAGATCTACATCAAGTGCTTTGAGGAGGTAGTGCTGCGCCTTCGATCAAGAGAGAGAGTGGCTGCTGGAAGACCCTATGTCTGGTAACAGGACACTGCATCATGCCACACAAGCAGGAGAACCCTGTCATGGCTGTCAGAAAATTTCTGCGACCATATCACCCCTTAAATCTGGCCACCTAACTCCCAGACTGCAACCCCCTTGTTTATTATGTGTGGGGCATAGTTGAGCAAAAGACCAACAAAACTAATTGTAACACCAAAGATGAACTGAAGGCAAGGATTATGGCAGCATAAAGAGACTGTTCAGAAGAGATTCCAAAGTCATTCGAATGCCATGGTTGAAGCCTATGGCAAGTCTATTGAATAAATTGACTAGTATTTAAAGATATATATATATATATATATATATATATATATATATATATATATATATATATATATATATATATATAATGATCCAGAGTCCTTTAAAAGGTCTCTGGTGAAATAAATTATTATAATGGAACCTTAAAGTGGTCTGTTTTTCTTTAATATATATAAATAAACTTTCCTGATCTCTGGGTCATTTACATCAAAGAACTTTTTGATGTGGCTTGTTAACTGACAGTGGTGAGTAGGGTCTTCACCTGGACTTTCATAGATCGGTGCTAAAATTAAGCAATTATGCGTGTGAAGTCAGTAGTAAAAATCTGCTTCAGAGCAGTTCATTTTCTAATGTTCACTGACTGGACATGTAAATGTATGCTATAAGAAACAAGCAACTCCTGGCTGAAGTTACTTTGAACTTAACTTCTTGCCAAGAAACCTTAGCAGTTTCTTTAAGTTTTTATTTGACTTGCCTCAAAGTTATCCTTTTAATTATTGCACCCAACAAGATGCAGGAATTTTCAGAATTACTTTTCTTGATGATGAAGAAAAAAAAAAAAAAGAAAAAAGCCATTACATAATAGCATAATAGAAATGCAAGAAAAATTATTTTTCTTACCGACTCTTTCTTCCTGTTTGGAAAAGTGTTCATTCATGAGTCTATCAATAATAGCAACTAGTTCAACCATGTGTTCCCCAGTTAAGCAACCCTTGCCAAGATTTTCAATGCACTACAAGGAAAACATTAAATGTGCTTGTTATTTAAACTTTTAGTAAACATGTCAAATTTCCACTTAAAATAGGTGGGGGGATGTGGTGGGGAGAGTAAAAAAAAAAAAAAAAAAGGGGGGGGACAATTCTTTCATCTACAGAGAAACAATTATTAGGTCGTTCAGTAAATGTGTTACAAAACAAGCAAAGAGATGAACTGAGGTATTGCTTACCTTTGCAAGGGATGCTAGATGGTCAGGTAACACTGCACGTTCTGGTTCATATTCAATGGCTTTGAGCAGATTTGGACAAATGTAGCTCCACATGTCAGCCACATATTGGTCCCTTTAATCCGGGCACATTCAAGTAAGTAAGGAGACACTCAGCTGCAGAGACACGAACATCTTAAAACAAAGTCAAGGAAGCTAACACAGGCAAAAGATCAAGAAGTTTCCAGAAATGGAAATTATAGCTTTCACTTTTGGGGGGGGGAGGAGGAGGAAAAAAAAAAAAAAAAAAAACGCACCCAAAATAATAGCCAATTTGAATATTTTTTTTTTTTTTTTTTTTTTGTCAAACCTACAAATTAAACACCACATTAGATACCTATATAAGTTTAGGGAAAGCAGGGAGGGTGGGTACCAGGCAGACATTTATACACTCATCTAATATTTGGTTACATGCCTTTGTTGTCTTGGAAGCCGCCAATTAGGATATGGAATTCACAACCATCTATTTGAAAAATCATTTTATTTGTGACATTGCTGACTTTCTAGAAACCGACTAGCAAATTTTGACAAAAGATTAGTTATTAAAGTAATTCTATTGAGGTTTGATAATGATGTAATCAAGACATTAAGAATCAACATGATACTGCTACACTATCACATTTGAAATCCTTGGGACCAGACAAGTCTTGAAATTCAGAATTTTGGAATGGTAGTTCATACTTTATATTCTGGAACTAGCTTATACTAAAAACACAAGTTTTCAAATTCTGTACAGTATGAATATCAAAGGCATTAATGAATCTTACAAATATTCAAAGTGGAATAAATATACACTAGAAATAATGCCATTTATTTGTATAAAATGCAAACTGAAGCAGGTAAAGACTGACTAACAATAACATCCAGTAAGACATCAAACTATATATATATATATATATATAGTGGCATATGCTCACTAATTCTTTTTCCCTAACTCAATCAGCACGAGGTCAAGATTTATTATTTTTTAAATTACCAATGTAATGTTTTTTTTGGGTTTCATTCATGCTACTACTGTCATTGTAAAACAACAATCACAGTAATGGTTTCAGCACAATCTTTAGTAAGACACTGCAGACAACCACTCCATGAACAATTTTATGCAGCAACTCTGAATAACATTTCATTGTTATTCAGAGACACATCTGAGACACTTTGTTATTTTTATTTTAAACCAAATTGTTAATTTAATATCTATATCACAACACCAAATTAATATACACTTGCTATAAATTATTAAATCTCAAAAGGATATGAGCAGTGTATAAATACTTTAGATCTCCAAGTTTTGTTTTTATAGTAAAACTTGAGCAAATTGCACTTCACCTACCTTCTACTGGAGTGATCAGTTTGTCTTTTTATATGGCCCTATCCAGATTTCTTCCCCTGTGCCATCTTGGCTACAGAAAAACTTTAAAATATTTTGTCGAAGGATACCATCATGGAAAACAAATTTCAGCAGGGGAACTATGAGTTTCACCACTTCCTCAGTGTATTCAGCAAAGCCTTCCTTCAATTCACGGGCATAACAAACAATCATTTGGCAAGCGGTTGCTTTCTCTTCCAGGCCTGAAGTACGCACGCCAATACTTTGCTATAAATAGAAATTTAAACAGTTGGAATCGTTTATCATATCTGAAGATAACTGAATATTGAAGTAAAATGTTAATTGTAGAATTATTTTTGTCAATAATGATTAACAATTTTAATTTGGTAAAGCTAACTTGATTTAAGGATTTGTCAAATTATAAAATCTATTATATATACATATATATATATATTTGGTTGGATTGATGTGAGTGTGACCCCGGGTTTCACACTTTTGTGATCGTCAGACAAACTGATTAATTTTTTTAAAAATTTTGGGTTTATGTAGATTGCATGTATTGGTGTTATTATGAGAGTGGGGGGAATTGTCGTCGTGATGTCATCATGCTAATGCAAACATAGATGCATGTCCACCGGAACTCATACAGATATAAACATGTGGACAGTTTGAGATTTGGCATATGTATGTATATGGGTGGTGTTGTGTTTATACACATGCATTTGTATGTTGAAATTCAAAGATTGGAAGTGTATTGAAAATTTCTTGTGAATGTCTCGTGAATGTATACATGTCAGCAACCAGAGCATTTTTCTATTTTTTCGCTGAATAATATTTCCACGCATGCACGTATATACGTGTGGTGGGGTCTGTGTAAAATTATGATAGGTAAAAATTACTATTATTTTTAATTTTTTATATTACACAACATAATATAAATATATATTTTAATATATATATATATATATATATATATATATATATTTACACAACATAATATTTTTTATATACACACTTTTCACACACGTGTGTGTGTGTGTGGCCAAACAGAACAAAACACAAAATTCAATGCAATCTATTGGGGTAGTTTTACTTTGTGAATTTTTGAAAATTAAAAATCCATTAAATTTTGCGGGCTCATCTAAAATTATTTCTAAGAAAAATCCATACAGGCAGAAAAAGTTAGCTAAATCACCGAGCCAACACCTGTTGTATAGCAACAAGTGTTAGTAGAGAGTGTTTGCAATTTGCAAGTAGAAAAACAAAAAGATGATTTCTAGGATATTATCTTGCACTTTAGGGTTGAAGCAGGTGAATATCTGCCGTGATGGTTGTCACTCCAGTGTTGAATCCTATGGTCATGACACCAGGCTGTGATGGTTGTCAATACGATGCTGAAACCCAGTCATGACACCCTTCATCCGTGAGAGGAGGTTACAGGCTAGCTATCCTCCTAAACTCCCCCCTCTTCACACTGGTACCTTACACCAATTCCTTTGGGTGGGTGTTAGTAACTTCTCCATCTTTCTTATTATTTTACCTCCACCTATCACCATTGCTACCACATGACCAAGGGCGTCTCGGCCGTGCTGGTGTGGCTGAGCTTGCTTCATTAATTAACTGACGCATTGCTTATTCAAGATTTCTTATCCATGCAGTTTAGAGTTAAATTATCATTGATGCAATTCTTTGGTTTCTTGAGAAAACAGACTTTTTGGGAAATAAAATCTCTTTATATCGAACAGTATATCTTTAACCCATCTCTTCTGTTTTCAGTATTTTCCATTCAGTTTTTATGGCTAATTAGTTAATTAATTAGCCTAGTTAAATAGTGTCACACTGCAACACTCACAAGATGAAGACTATTGCAACATTTTTAATACTGGTTCACACATGGTCCTTTTTCCATCCTTTAGGTACTTACCTGATCACCAAGTGTCACAAACTGCCAATCTGTGTCATCCTCCATTTCTTTCATATCATCACCTAAAGGAAGAAAGCAAAAAAAAAAAAAAAAAAAAAAGTAAAAAAATGTTTTATCCCCTCTTAGCCACTTGTGCCAAATCTTTGTGAAACAATAGTAACTTAATTGGTAGCAGAAGCTATTTTTCTCCCCATCTTTACTACACACAAACCTAGAATTTCATTCATATTTTCAATCTATTTAATATTACACATATGTATCCAAGGAAGTTCCTAACACTTGAAACAGCAAAGTCATACATTTTAAGATTTAGTTTAAAACTTTTCCTCTTAATCTTATACATTTAAAAACATCTTCATAAGAATTGGTTCTATGTATGAAAGAAATTACAACTTATGTAATGTATTGTTTAATGCAAAGAATTACTTAGCATAAAGAATGCTCTCTTGTAAACTAAGATGTGAAGTTTAAACACTATTCATAGTACATAAAAACAGTCCCTGGCAAGCATTCATTACCAGAGATGATAAAACAGATCATACAATTTCTACTCACTATTGACAATGGCTACATCTGGTTGAATTGCCACTGCTTTCAATACTGGCCCCATTACCATAGGAAGGTACTGCTGGAATTCCTTGCCCAAAATTTTACACATTCTAGCCCAAGCAGAAATCATGTAAGAAATCTGTGAAAAATTAAATTCAGATAAATATTTTCTGCAAACTTTTCAATATAGCATTTAAGCATGAATTTAATTGTTCAATGAGTTTAGAAGGGCTAGGGATATAGCCTGATCTTTGGACTTGATGTACTGAGGGGGAAAGTAGAAGGAAAAGGTGAGATACATAACATTAATTTTATTGACCATCACCAACCAAGAAATGCAATGCTTAACTCTTTCCTGTCACATACCGCTTTAATTATTCCTGAAAACTTGTGGAGCACAAAAAGGTAGATATACTAGTTACAAATATACAAGGTTAAAAAATAAAAATAAATCAAGGTTAAAATAAGATTAATTTATAGACTTAAATGAAAATTAACCTTTCAAGCTCAGCAATCAATAAAAACCCATTTAAAAGCCTACTGTCTTTTCATCAGCAAATTACAAGATTTAATGAGAAAGAAAGGAAACAAATCATTTTGAAACTAACCTGTGGATCATCATCAGGTAAATCTTTCATGTCTGTCTGTGTCTTTAACAGCAACTGCATTACTTCACTGCAATCTTGCATAAACTGAAAAGAGAATATAAATTGCCTTTAAAATCAATTATGGTAATTTTTTTTTTTTTTTTTAAATTAAATATGATCCATTTTTCATACATTCCTTGAAAGTAAAAACAAAACCAATCATTCAATTTCAAAATAAAGCTGAATTATTAGGATGGCTATAAAAATGTACAGTTACTTAAATTACTGTCTGCAAAATGCTTACAAAACTAGAGATTGGTATGTAAACATTAACTTACAAATTTTTCATGTAAGCAAGCATTGATTACAATTTGGCTTACCTCTTCTTTGCCAACAGCCAACCCAATCAAACTGATGCACTCAATTGTCTTCCCTCGCAAAAGTCTCAGTTCAGGACTTGTTGCATGTTGCACAATGTACTTGAGACATGGCATGAATCTATAGAAAAACAAAACACTCCAGCTTTGAAAAGATGTAATTATATATATATATATATAAAAAAGAGAGAGACCCCACATAGTATCATTATTCAGCCATTTATGCATTTCCCTGACTTCCAATGATATCACCCCATCTTAAAAAAAAAAAAGACCTGAAGATACAAGAGAAAAGACATTGTCCTGCATCCCGATGACAGTCTGCGGCATCTGATCCAAAACACGAGTTATCTAACAACCACCAGTTGATTTTTTTTTTTTTTTGCTGCTTGTCCTTTAAATGAAGGAATCCTTCACTGTAATATTTCATAGTAATAATTTGCTAAAATCCAAACAAAAAGTAACATTTCCCTCTGAATACCATACACATGGCAAAACCAATGCATTATTGTATAGAATAAAGAACTCTCCAAAAGTCACCAAGATTAAACTACATGCAGAGCTGAGTAAAATGTGATGACAGAAAAGACAAGTGGGCTTTAAACCAATTTAATTTTAACTTGCTAATCATTAAGCAGTTGAGAAGTTCAGATATTTTGGATTAAAAAAATCCATTTCTAGTAAACCAAATCCATGAGCCTTAAAGTTTTCAGAATCACTTAATACCTACTGTTCATTTCAAACAGAAAGGCGAACAGATGTAATTAATAAAAAAAGATACTTACTTGTCGTAGTAGACTACAAATTTTTCTTCTGAGGTGTCTGCAACTGCGGCCAAAGTGGAAACCACTTGTTCTAACACGAGCTTCCGGCCATGCTCCACCAACTGAAGAAAACAAATTTAATAAAGCAGTGTCAGTTAAACATTTGCAATTAAAATTTCTTTAGTTAAACTCATGAAAATGAAGAAATTTTTAAAGCCATGAAAGTTTTGAATAAAATTAACAATTAGAGTAATATACATAACCTAGTAAAGACTTGCAGCAATGTTTAATTGTTTATAAAGAAATTAAAAAAAAAACTAATATTTAGTTATTGTTTTCACAATCCATTACAGACACAAATAACCCATATTGGCTTGATCAATGTAAGAATATCCCTGGAATAGAATAGCTCAGTGCTTTTAATACTCACTTCTTGGAGTTTATTGTTGAGTACCTGTTCCAGTTTTGCCAAAATGACATCCAGATACTCTTGGAGAATTGACTTGGGGCACTCGTCGCTGAAGTTGACCAAAGCTGCGGCACCATGGGCTTGAACACGAGGGTTTTCATTATCATCCATGATGAGTAAAAGACCTTCAACCACCTGAAGAGGGAAATATTTTATTTTAGACCCAAATCTATATAGCATACCTGCACCAATAAGTTTTAAATAGATTTTAATGTGTTCAAATATCTTTATTTGTGGCTCACCTTAGCATGGAATTTTTTCTGGAAAGTTGGACCAAAGTCTGTGGACAGTTGACCAAGGGCATTGCATGTAGCATATCGGACACGAGGATGCTAAATATAGGGAGAGAAAGAGAGGCAGGTTAATCTTGTAAAGAAATATAAAAAGATTCAAGTACAGAGAGCATTGAGATTTTGTCAAGCACTCAATTATGCCTGCTTCTAATGTGTACTGTGTACTTTTTGGGCATAGTTTAGGTTGTAACTTAAGATAGCTGAAATGATACCAATTTATAAAGCTCCAAAGAAAAAAATGTATTAAAAGAAAATATCAGTTTTAATCATTAGAGGAGAAAAAACCCTGTGTGTGTGTGTTTAAAATTTTATTGGCATTTGGCTAGACAAGGGTCATGGCCACATCATGAAGATATATATGCGTGTGGTTGTTGGCCAAAGTTGAGTCCAACCAGGGAATGGTTCCATTAAAAGTGCTCTATGCACAATCCGAAAAACTGAATGTGCAGAGTTTTTAAATATTAAAAAACAGGAAGCACTTACTACCATGATTTAACCATTGAGGTCTCACCAGGCAGTAGATGCTAGTTAATCTAACACTTTATTTGCTTATTTTATATTCAGGCAACAGGAAGTACCACAGAAGAGGAGGGGCAGTCAGCGAGACAAGAGCGAGGAAAGAAAAAATAATAAAAAAAAAATAAAAAAAAAATGCAGCACTTGCACCTGGGTTCGTATAAACCCAAAATGTACTTTTTAGTGTGTCTACACCCCGACATTACCTCAGACCTTTCATTTAACAGCTTTCTTTGGTCTGGATCTGTTACTATTGTTCATTTTTCTTCCTAGCACAGCCTACAGACAACACTACCATTACTGTAAGGTTTGGTTCTTTTCAGTATGCTCCAGCTTATATTAAGGATTTTGTTGTCATGCTTTTCCTTTAATTACCACACATGGTTGACCGGTCTGAACAATTCCTATAGCTTTCTATCTTGAAAGAGGACTTTCGAAGGTACCTTCAGTGCACCCTACATCTAGCTTGCTCTGGCCATTCCCATCCTTCACTTCCTCTTTGTAAACCACTCCTATTTTTCAAACGCCATCCAGTGGAAATTTATTTTTATCCTTACAGTTACACTTTTTGCTAATACTTTGTTGTATGCTATCCTTGTAATTCTTGGCATTTTGTCTTTTTATTGTAGTTCCTAAATTGCTAGTACAGTTGTAACTCAATTGTATTTCTATTAAAAATCTTGTGCAACTTGGCACTCTTAGGGAAGTGCTTATCAAGCGACTTGAAAAATATCTTCCCTATGTTAAATTTTACCTCTAAATTAAATGTGTGTGTGTGTGTGTGTGTGTGTGTGTGTTTGTGGATAAACCAAATAATGATTCTTTTTCTCCTTTCATTCCTCATTTGAGGTCTGAATTCCAGTTTAGTTTTATGACCTTCCTCTTTTTACACCTTATCTTTTTTTCTTCAAAAATGAATCTACAAGAGGAATTTCCACACATTTTTCACTGACCCAAAAGAGTGGGCTGGGTGACAATGTTCACTCAAACTGGAATTATTTCAAATGTATGATCCCTCACTCGTTTATCAAATGAAAGCGACACTTGCGACATGCTAATCTTAATGCAATAGATATAAGTCTTGGAAAGTTTTCAAAATCAATTTTTAAATAAAAGCAAGTTTAGGTATAGCATGACAAAATACTTCATGCAGCAACTTTTTACAAGCAAAGAATTTTTTTTAACAGTTTATCAACCAGTTATGGGTTAAGATATTTAGGAGGTTGCTTAGAGTACCTCCTCTCATTACTAACTGAGCTCAACACTAACCTCAATGATTGAATGGGAAGCAGATTTTCAGTGTGATTTGACTAAGTTACAATCAAAGTAAATACTACTTCTGTTCCATAATAGTTGTTAAATTTAGTATATGAAAAATATGCAAATGTAATAACTATTATGGAACAAGTAATATTTTGTTCACATTACTAAAGTGTGTATTATCCTTAAACAATAGGAACATCTTGAAAGTGCCACTTTCTGCTTTTATAGTTTGTAATGGGTCAGAACAAAAGTTTGTAATGGTTTTAAGTGAATTTTAAAGACAATATTCCGATACTTGCACATATTGATTCAGCCACATATATACCATTTTGTTCCACTACGTTTCATCATATTTGAGGCAGCTCCAGGATTCCACCCTCCTAGAACCTAGCATCTTTCTGGGTGATGAAAGGGTCTCAGTTTTTTTTTTTTTTTTAAAAACAGGTTTCCAGAAAATTGATGTTCTTGTTAAAGAATTTTGTGGGGATCATAATAAATAGCAATCTGAAGGTGTAAGATCAGGTGAATATGACAAATGTAGTAGAACATCCCAGCTAAGCTGTACCAATTTTTTTCTTATTGATTCCTGCCTCTGAGAACAGTGCTTGTCTGAGATCAACATTTGATTTTGAGAAGGAGCTTATGATACACAATGCCCACCCAATCTCACCAGAATGGTAGCATTACCCTTTTTTGAATGCAGACTAGAAGAGGAAGAGAGGGGGCTGACGCACATGAGCAGAGAATCATAGGCAGAAATGTGGTCCGTTAAATTTGGTAATTTATTAGAACATGAGGCACCCAAACATAGTAGCAATTAATGTATTCCTAGTGTTTTCAAATGCCTTACAAGGCTCATTTGAGATACCCTATGGTGTATGGTCTGGATTATTCTTTAATCAGCATTTTAATTTGTTTATCATAAATGATTGCAGGCTTCTCAAAATATTCTCAATTTTTTCCACTTCTAAACATGGCAGATTACTTATGAACAGTACTCTCAACTATAACATCTTCATGAATGGTATATACCTTCCTTGCTGGTTGTACAGCATTTCATCCTATTCTATAACTAAAATCATTTTCCATCATTTTTTACTTTTAATAATTTAATTTTTATAATTTCAGTCATGTGTGAAAAAAAAAAAAAAGAAAAAAAAAAAAGGACACCTACTGAAAGAAACATTACAAGATTTTGTTCAAACCTAATACAAACCAAGTGATTGAGATACATCTTTGTCTTAACCAGTTTAAAATACAATTCCATTTGTAACAGGACAAACAGGTAATTTTTTTTTTTTTTTTTTAAATTTTTTTTCAACTCACTGGATCTTTCAGGTAGGGTAGCACTGTATCCACAATGTTTGCAAGCATCTGTTCCATTTGTGAATGACATCCTTCGCCACAAGCAGAGATTGCCATCAAAGCAGCATGACGGTACCGCCAATCAACTGTCAAAGCAGATGATGCAAATATGAGACAACTAGGCACAAAAATGACAGATTTTAAGTTTTAAATTAATCTTAAAAAAGGTGGGGTCTTTGAATAATAACCAGCAAAATCTTGATAGATTTTTATCAGTTTAATTTTTATATTTAAGACTAAACACTTATAGATTGTGACAATATTTAAAAGCTACAAGTAATCTCAGTTTTTTCTTTGTGCAAAATATAATTTATTTTTTATATTTATAAATGGTATTACATAAAAAGTTCAATTAAAACCAATTTACAGAGTGTGAGAAAAAGAAAATTATCTAAGCAAACCAAATTGTGTAAGTGTGTGAATGAGAGAAGTTTCTAATAATTGCCAAACAATGTTTAAAAGAGGACTTCCACATGACACTGGGGTTTAGAGGAGGGGAAAAAAAAAAAAAAAGTCATGAGAGGAAGAAAAATCACTCACCATTTGTCAACATTTGAGGTATATGGGAAACAATGTGTGGAAGGATAGTTTTGCCACCCAGTGCACAGGCAAGACGATCTAAAGCATTTTCACCGACAATAGCATTACTATATGGAGGATGGAAAGAAAAAAGAAAAAAGAAAAAGAGTAATAAACAAAAAAGGCAGGCAAAAATCACATTGTGTTATAAAAAATGGCCATTATATAAATTAGTTTCAGTTTCCACATTGAAACTAGAAAACTAGACAGTATAAAAAAAACAAAAACAAAAAACAATTAAAAAGCAAATAATTTTACATTTTAAATAGCACTTATTTCAGAACATTGAAACCTCTTAAACTATTTAAAATTTACAATTTGTATACAATTTGTTTCCAATTCTCAATTTTGGCAACAGCTGAGTTTTTAAAAAAAAAAAAAAAAAAAAAAAAAAAAAAAAAAAAAAAAAAAACAAATTCTAAGCAGATATAAATTTATAAACTGCATTCTGTAATACCACGAGGAGGATAGATCACTGGCATCACCATAGGTAAATATTAAAGGATGATCAAACAGAAAAAGATAAATGATAACTGATATATTCAAAGATAATCAAATGAAAAAACTCTTAAAGTTTCAACCAAGAATAACTAATCCAATTTATTCAGCTTTATCATATCAGAGCATAATGATAATGATTCAGTCTTTGCCCACAAAATGGAAGAAGAACCAGGATTACTTATCATGCAATAGCAACATCAATTTAGAAGAAATGAATGAGGTATCCCATTTGAAGAAGATTTTAGCAAAAACAAGGAATATGGTAAGAGTAATATACACAACTGGTTAAAGTTATAAATTTATAAATGTTAGATTAATTAAATCAATTACCTTTCAATATCATCATCATCTGTTTCATCTTGTATAGACCACTCTGGATCATCTTCAAGGTCAACCATCAAGGCTAATGTTTCAGGAACTGCAGAAGAGAATATAAAAATGTTATTAATTAACAATAATAGTGACATTTTTCAAAATTTCTACATGTCTAAATTTTGTGTAAATATGTAAATTTGCTTAGATTTCTAAATGAAGAAAATTAAGAATATCATACAATTGTAACTGATAAGGCAGGAAAATGGAGTAAAACTTCAGTAAGATTCGTAAGAAAGAAATAATCCATCAGTAACTGATAAATCCATATACCAGATTACCATTAATCCTCCCTAAAGTATTCCAATAACTTTAAAACTTGAGAGGAAGGAAGGAAGGAAAAAAAAAAAAAAAAAAAATAAAAAAAATAAAAAAAAAAGAATTAAATTCTTCAATTAACAATTCCTTTTCTATGGCTTATCAACCCTTTGCAGGTTAAAGCCAGAAAATATTTTTAGTGTAAGAATTTTTGGAAGAATGATTTACTGATACAAGTTTTACTAGTTAACCCATGGCTTGGAGGTAGGTGTGCGCGTGCGTGTGTGTGTGATTCATACATTTTCCAAGCATATCTGCATGTAAGTGAAATACAAACTTAACTAGAATTGGAACTTTATTTTCGAATTAATTTCAAGCCATTACACCATCCATGCTTACAGCACCTGGTATTCCCAAGCAGTCACCCATCTAGGTGCCAACCAGGCTTGACATGGCTTAACTCTGGTGGTCGTATAGGAACCGGAGTTTCAATGTAATTCGGCTGTAAGCCAAATTTTTCAAGGATCATCTTGTTAAATAATCTAACATCGAAATAGTAACTTAGGAAGAATTAAGGAGACATTTTACCTGAACTCTTTTGGGAGACAATTTTTAGGTAAAAAATAACTCATTTAGAAAGTAACTCATGTTAACAGCCTTAACAAAAAGGCATAGTTAAAAAGATTAAGAAAAAGGTTTTATTAAACCTTACCTAAATTAGGAATATACTTCCAGTTTTTCCTGACCATGGCAGGAGCAGTTTCAGAAAGGGCAACAATCACTTCTAAAGCTAACTGCCGCCGATGATCCTCAGCCTCCGCATTAGAGACAACCTGTAAGTGTTCAAATATTGCTATCAGGTCCACTGGATTATAGTATCAAACATTATGGAAAGATAAACATATACTACTGTATTGATGTGAGAAAGAAGGAATAGAAAACTGTAATTTTTACCTTGAGACAAAATGGAAGAATTCCCTCTAAGTGGCTGCGTAAGAATTTGGGTACATTGTCTGCTAATTCGATCAAACACTTAAGTAAACAATCATCATGTTTTGTATTGACACTTTCAGCAACTCCCTGTAAAAAGAGAAAACTATGTGACATGCACAAGATTGAGGATATATGGGCAGGGAATCCTTATTTGAATAGAGATGTTTTCCTTTACGTTTTTAACCCAAGAGAAAGATGTCAGTTTAATATAACATTAGTTATAATGCACCTGCAGTAATAGTTGCTTAACTTTAGACAAACATTTTAACAAGTTTTACATAATATGAAGTATATCTATGTTAAATTAGTTTTATTTTGACTATAAAAGTTTTGTACATGTGTATGATGAAAGATATGATACCAATATGGTTTATTTTTTTTTTTTTTTTTTTTAAAATAAGAATTTAGACAATATGCAGAAGCAAACAAGATTCTTTGAGAACCTATGAATAAATTGAAATGATGCATAGTTATTTGTATTTGCTTAAAGAGGAAAATGAAAAAAAAAGTAATCTAGAAATGCAGAGAATTTACTAATATTAAAGTTTTAAATCACTTGAGAGGGGGAGAAAATGCAGTTTTTTAATGTTTGAAGAAAAAAGGGCGGGATAAGGAAAAGGAAAAAAAAAAAAAAAAAAATTGATGCAAGGATTGCATCTACTTACACTGATGATGCCAGGCAGGAGTTCTCTGAAGTGATTTAAGACATTCATTTGTTTTTCATTGGCAATGATGAAAGAGGTTGTTGCTCGCACAGCCTCAAACCGAACCTGCACATAAGACACAGAATTAATTTGGGAGAGAGAAAGAGAGAAAAAGAAAAACATTTAACAGGAAAGAAGTACAAAATATTTACTACATTTATGAAAATACAAAAAAATTAAAAGAAAAAAAAACTAATCAATTATTTAGCTAACATTGCAGCAATCTATTTTCCTTCAACAAAAAGAGAAACTGTTGCTGTCCAAATTTAAAAGGATTTTACAAAGGTAAGCCCAAAAGAATGAGGGAAATCTTTTAATCATAAAAAGGGGTATATTATTCAAATTTGGTCTTATAAGTTTGATTTAAATTTCAGTTATTGAAAAATCTCACTACTTACCTCTATAGATTTATCTTGTAAACATAATCCCAACATCCTTTTGATTGTGTCTAAATGTTCATTCTGAGCAACTCCAAACACACCAGGAACAGAGCTAAAAATAGTATGTTATCAAGTACTAAGATACACTAGTAGATTTGTTTCTCTATGTTAATAGGTAATTAATTTTAAACAAAATTCAAATATTTCAGTAAAAATAACTGGAATTATCAGATTTTATGTAATTCTGATCTTTTTACAATAAAATTGCTTATCAATCATGTTGGTAAAATTTTTAAGATACGTGACAAATATACCACGTGAATTTCAGTTTACAATTAATGTTTTTATTTGAAAGATTTACATTTATTCATTCTATTATGTAACTAAAGTATTATTCAGTGTGCCGTAAATAAATAATAGTATAATTACTGATAGACATTTTTAAAATTTCAGATCAATAGAAATTATGAGTTTTTAAGCTATAATATTAAAAGAAAAAAAAAAGAAAAAGATATTGTAAAGTTAAAGTGGTAAGAACACAAAACTGGATATTGTAAAATGTTAAAGATCCCATAGAACAATTAAAAGAGAAATTGAAAACACACACAAGGAGAGGGTTTTAAAAGTAAGTGGCATAGATCATAATCAAGGTGATAGCAAGTGTTAGTAAATTTACCTGAAGATATGAAGGGCACTTTCTCGTAGTCGAGGGTCTTCGGAACTTGCACAGTCTAAAAGGAATTTTAAGACTTCTGGCCAGGTCATGTTTCCATCCTCATCTGTAAAGGAGAAAAAAAATATAATCAAAAATAATTTTTAAATGTAAAACTTATTGTTTGCCAGATACCAAATTTGTTTCCCTTTAAAGAATCTGAAGTTTCACTACATAGAAATAGGGAAATTTTATATTATTGAAAATTACGTTCTAATATTTACAAATCTCTAAACTTATTTAGACAAATGTATTTCTTAATCATTCAATGAACAAAGTTAACCAATAATAAAATTTACAGTCGTCCTGCTCCCTAAAATCTTTTTCAAATACAAGTATATCTACTTGTGCTGATAAAAAGCTAACCTAAAAAGCAATAAAATAAGAGGATAAAATATCTATTTAATTCACTTTGCATAATAAAGATTACAAAATATTTTAAGTTTATATTTTGCTGTTAGATTCATTGATATTAGAATCATCATATAACATGGTTGGAAAAAAAATAAATAAAAAATAAAACAATGAATACAATTGTCATAGTTCCCAAACAACTGGAATTTTTCAGAGGTTATAAATGCCGCCCAGAAAGTGATTGACTATTTGCTGCCTTCCTTGGAGAACATTTCTAATTCTCGTTGTCACAGGAGAGCAGAAAATATAATGAAAGACAGCATGCATTCTGGGTACCACTTGTTTGATCTGTTATCTTCAGACAACATTTTAGACCTATTATTTCTAGAAGAAAGCACTTGAGGGACTGCTTTTATTCTTGGGCCATGTGGTGTGCGTGTTGCATATTGGTGCATCTGGAGATGCTGTCCAATTTTATTATGCATTGCTCAGTGACAAAATGAAAATATATATAAGATTCTGTGAGACTTCCATTAATCTTTCTGCCACACTCTCTAAAATAGCCATACATTAACAGATTGAAAACAAATTTTGGGGAGAAGTGCGAACAGGTAAAGGGGGTACAAAGTGCACTTAGGATGCATAGCTTAATACAATAAATTTTCATTCATTTTTTTTGAAAAGCTTTATTATTTAACATACAAAATACTCCCACTATTTCAAAAACAATTTCATCAACAATACTAAATACTGTGCAAAAAATTCTAGTAAATAAAATAATTTAAGAAATATTCCAACTACTTTCTTGCAGGTGTTTAAGCCACAGGAGTTGGTAATGTATGCAAAAATATCATACCCATGTCAGATAGAAAAGCAGGGTAAATATATTGAAATTTACATTCAGTTTGAAAATTCCCATATTTGTTTTCCTTAAAAAGTAACCATTTGTTTTCCTTAAAAAGTAACCACTAGTTTTCATACCGAGCATGTTCCTGGCAAGTTCTGCAATAGCGTCACACACTTTCCTGCGTACAGCATGATCTTGTTCTTGCTGGATAAGGTTCATCAGATAGGTCTTGATGGCAACTTGAGAATCAGGCAGGATGTGAGGCCAGGAATCATCAAATTTGGAAGTAAACAGTTTGCGAAGCAGAACTGCTGCAAGGGATCGGTTCTGGAAACAAAAGCACATTAATGTTTAGTGTGTATATAGATAAAGTTCTGCTGGCTGTGTACCCCCTCCCCACCAACCAAATGTTAATGGAGAACAACATTGTAATTTTAACAGGCATACAATTGTCTTAAGATCAATATTTCAAATCTGGGGAACAGGGAAGAAATAACAGCATACAGAGTCTTTACAAAGCTCAAAGTAGAGCAGAGATGTGGCTTCATCAGTTAGGCTTCCTAACACTCTGAAAAGTCTTGAAAGAGAATTCCATCTTCTAGTTGTTATAAAGAATTGGTTAATTTTCACTGATGCATTAAATATGTAAAGAAGTGCTAAGAAATAAAGTAAGACATTAAGGCATTTGGTTTCTAATTGAAAAATCTTAGTGTATTCCAAATAATGATAAAAATGCTAAGACAAGTATTTTAAATATATGTTCAACATAAAACTATTTGCTCTCATCACTTCTCTCTTAGGTGGTTAGAAGAACATGTCTTGTGTACCCACCTCACACAAAATGTCAGCCTTTCTGTAATTCTAGATAGAATTATCAGTTATCCAAAGTCTAGCATTTGGACAATTCCCAAAATCAAGAAATAGAGAAGAAAAAATCCTTGCATAAAGTAACTCAATTACTTGGCTTTTTGTTGGCAACATTTTCTTGAAACTCATCTTGAGACAATCCTCTCATTCCCACCAAATGCATCATTCAGACTGCTCCTATAACCATGCATGTTTTAGAATAAGTCAACCATTTAAGTTGTGATGGCTACAAAGATATTTTTTTAAAAACAAGCAAAAAAAAAAAAAAAAAAAAAAAAAAAAAAAAAAAAACACTTTACGGAAGTTATTTAACAAGTTCATTACCATAAAGAATACATATTATAGACAGTTAATTTTCAAGAAAGCAAATTAGAGAAATAGTTTGAATGCTCTATACTTTTCTGATATTCTCTTTTGAATTCACTGAATATTTAGGCAATCCAAATCTGGTTTGTACAGACATGTCATCCAAGCACCAATGGTTAAATCTATTTCATTTGTAGAATACTCATTGATCAGGTTCCAATTACAAAAGAAAAATTGGAGTAGACATTTGTAAGCCATTAAAAGTTGTGGCTTCAAGATGCATTTCTTGAGAAATAACATTTGTCCCATGAAAAAGTTTTCCCATTGAAAGCAATAAATGACCCCCCCATCTTATTTCAACAAAAAATCTACCAAGCAGTTATGAGAGAGAGAGAGAGAAAAAGAATCTATTAATAAGGATACATAAAATGCTTCTGAGTAATTAATGATAGAGCCATTTACATTACTGTAATTAAATTAAACCGTTTCAATTTGCTGCTATAATGAAAACCATGCAGATAATTTGGTTGGTGAGCTATTTCTTTGTTTTGCTTACTTACAAAGCAGACCTTTACAGGAATATTTTAAAGCCCCATTTATTATTTAGAGAAAGTTACTGAAGATTAGTAAATAAGTCCTCACCCACAAAATTCCGACAGAATAAAGCCAGGTCATGAATTTATAGATGTAGCTGAAAATTTTGGTGATTATTTCTGCTTTTAATAATCAAGTACAAAAGTGATGATGAGGTAAATCTTAGTTTCTTTGAAATGTTTCTTAAGTATATAAGTAAAAGTTATAAACATCCTTGCTGCATGGAATAACCATATGTCATTTTTTGAAATACTTAGACACCTTGTTCTTTATCTGTAAATCTGCTCAGATCTGTCCAGTTTAAATAAAGACAAAAAAGTTATAAGCTCTTTAATAAATCAACTCATCTCAGAAGAGGTGATCCACAAGAAAACAGCATACCAAAATCTAACATTAATTAATTATGATATTGCCATCTCCATGAAGTTTAATAATAAGTGTTTTGTATTTGAACAGTTTACTCAAGGATTAGTTAATTCACAATTATAAGACTTGCTTGTAAGTCATTAAAGTGGGAAAAAGATACTAGAGATCAAAAATTGTTACAAAATTAGAATTGGATTTCATTCTGTTATAAAGAGATACCAAACTACTTAAACAAAAATATTCATTGCAAAGAATAAATTGAGATAATTTAAATCATTAAAAACAGTTTGCATGATTTAAATAATCATGCAAACTTCAGCATAGTGGCACTGAATTTAGTAATGGCTAAAGAATAATTTCCATAAAGATGATTTTTTTTTTATTTACACACACACACACACAGTCAACCTTTTGCAGTTTATTTTAAAAAGGCAGGTATTTACTTTTAGATTGCAAGAATTGTTTGGGAAATAATGATTTATGGATACAAGTTCTACTAATTAACCCATAGCTGGGAGAAGTGGTTTTATACCTTTTCAAAGTTATTTGTACATAAGTGCATGTAACAAATCTGACTAAAATCAGAACTATCCAATTTCCAATTCAGAGCTGTTATCTATTACACCACATGCACATCTAAGCTTACAGTGCCTGGTAATTCTAAGCAGTCACCCAAAGGGTACTGACTAGGCACAACATTGCTTAACTTCAGTGATTTTATGAGAACTGGTGTTTGAATGTGATATGGCTGTAACATTTTGGAATTTATGTAGTAGAAAAAAATACATTTTGCATTTCATTATTAAAAAGAATAAAAAAAAACAAAAAAAACGCTGTAGTCCCAATAACAGGTTCATCTTAGATTTAGAAACTGGAATATAAAAAGTGAGGAGGTTAATAAAATAACTGGTCTCTGACTAGTGATGGAACAATACCAATATTTTTACCAATTCCGATACCGACAATGATTAAAATTCATTATTTTCAGGCCCTACAGTAGGTTTGGGGAACTTAATGAACAAAGTACATCTATTAATAAAACATATAAAAATGAATATGAAATCTTATGAAATAAAGTTACATATCCTTTTTATTTAAAAAATTGGGTTAGAGTTTAAACAATGAAGAAAGGTGATTTAAGTAAATCACTAAGGTACCTAGCTACAGACGAGATATTGCTTTACTTTGGTTATCATATCAGAAATCTTAATAAGAAGCAGCTCATTGGATGCACTGTCATAATTGGGATCTGAAAATATGAAACATTGGTTAAAATTTAAATTTTTTTTACTGTTAGATAAAAAATGTTTCTAGTTTTCTAGTGTGTATAATTTGTAAAGATCCAACTAATTGTTTGCTATGCATATATTTTGATGCAAGTACAAGGAGTACCTGCAGGACAGTGAATAAAATATAAATGCAAATTTTAAATTTGCCTACAGATGTTTAATAAGAATTAAATATGAATTATCACAGCAACTTAAATGAATTAAGTCTTCAATCTTATGCAAAAAATTTGAATCACTAATAAGTTTTACTGTCTAAATTTCTCACAACTAAAAAAATGTAATTTTTAGGAGAATAGAAAATGTTTTATTTCCATAAAAAAAAGATACAAGCAAATTTTAGCAAACTTTACAAGAAATTTTAAAAAATATTAGGAAATTGAAAGCTAAATAATGCTGATATGCAATTTGATTCTTTTATAAAAAGGTACAAGATTCAACTGTTACAAATCATTAAAATAAGATTAAAATTTTCATATGGATGAGAACAACTGTAAATGTTTATTTTTTGGTATGGGTTTGATTTTTTTCAGTTATTTATTAGATGAAATTTTACTATTTTTATTTTAAAAATGTTAAAACAAATATTAAAAGTGGAAAAAAACTAGCTTAATCACCAGATAACAATGGGATAAAAATACTTTTTTTTTTTTTTTTTTTTTTTAATACGCTTCTACTTATAAAAGTTACATTTCATTTGGCTCTGAGAAGGAATAAATGAGAAACAAGAAGTTCAAAATATTTTAAATGCCATAATTTAACACAGGAAATTTCAATTATACCAAAGAAAAATATTGGTAAAATAAAATTTTCTATGGAAATTTAAATTTTTTTTAATACAAACTTTTGTGTGAAAAAGCCTTTTTTCAGGAAACTTCAAATGAAATTATTTATTTATTTTTTTTAATTAAGTAAAATGATGAAAAACAGTTCTGAAAGTTATAAAATTTTAATATATGAATTTTGTAGAAACAAATTTAAGTTTCATAAAAAATGTTTACTTTTTTATTTTATTTTTTATTTAAAAATCTTGGTTATTGAAAAGATTTTTTTTGTTTATGTAGCATACTACATAAAACAGAAATAAATCTTTTCAATAATTAAGACTAAAAAATGATTTTATGAATTAAAACTATGATAAAAAATGTATTTAACTGCCTTGACTCAAGATCAATATTTTATTTGAAGAAATCAAATGTGACACTGGCGAGAATTCCATGCATTCATTTTTTTTCCTCCTTTTTTTTTTTTATAAATTAAAAACATAATAAAAATTGTCCTAAAAGAGAGACAGAACAACGTGAATTCATTTTGTGTTTATATTACATAATTTTGATTATAATTATTAAATCAATAATTCATATTAAATGGGCAAATTAACAATGTTTAAAAAGAAATTAAAAATAAAGTTTTTTATTTTTAACTGAAATAGACTTCAAACTAGCGAACTTTATGGAAACTGAATTGAGTAGAAACTTACACACCTCATCCTCACCCCCTGGAAAATAAATTCACACCAAACTTAGGTGTTATGATCAATAGATTTTAGTTTTACTGATAGTTTAAAAATCAATATTTATCTCTTTTTATCATTAGCACCAAGAATGGAAAAATTAAGTTAAAAATTTTTTTCCCAAAAGAATGATTTTTGGAATCAGAAATTAGGTTAGAAATTTTCAGATTCCAAGACAAAAATACTAGTCATAAAATCAGTTTCTATTTCTAGTTTTTACATGTTTATTTGAATTGAAAATATATTTCAAATAAAAACTGAAATGTTTTCCCCAATGTTCAATTGAGCATGAGTAAAATTTGTGATACAAGAGGCTCGGAATATTTATAGAATTTGATTGTGAAGTATTTGCTATAGATACAGGTCTCCACACTCACTCAAAATTGAAATTAGTGTCATTATGCTTATAACATTACGTAGTGAACTACTGCAGAGAGCAAAGAGGTCCAGAGTTGCATGCATTTTTTTGCGAATGTATCTTGCATGCAAGCTGTCCAAAAAGGAAAAATGTCTGCATTGCAGGTAACACATTTAAAACTGATAGAACCCAGAGTCAAATACTCTCTCGTGAGAGAGAGTTTTCATGTATGAAAAGTTTTGTTGTCAAGAATATATATATATATATATATATATATATATATATATATATATATATATATAACTACTGCATCAAACAGGTGACGTGTTATGGTCAGTGGAGTGTTTGACTACCGAAAACTGATTGCACATTATCCATACAATTTGGATAAAGGAAAATATCCATTGTGATGTATGGGGTACATATCCTTTGAAAACTACAATGCTAGACATGATTTAATGACTTAAAAGCAAATGGGGGTGAAAAAAAAATTTACTGTGTTCTTTCCTCTTAACATTTTGATTATGAAACTTTTTTTTTTTTTTTTTAATGAAGTTTGGAACCTTTTTCATCATGCTATGCTTTTTTTTCTTCTCTTTCTTCAGCAAATTATTGGAAGTAGCTAGAATAAAGAATAAGTGGCTGTAGCACCATTTCTAAATTGGAATATACAAGTAAGGCTTTTAATTTCTCATTCTAGAAATCTATTTTTTTTATTTTTTAATGTATACAGGGAAAGAGGCTGTACTTGCCTAAATGATTGTAAAATATTCCATCAGATAATTTAAGTTTCTGAAATTAAAATGCCTAAAGAAAATACATTATTGTTGATTCCTTGTAGAATAATAGCATGTCAAACTAAATTTGTCCCAAGTAAATCTGAACTTTTCATCTTTGGTTAATAGCACTTGTCCAAATGTTTAACTGAATCTAAATCATGTAACATTTAGAGAGTGATTAATTAGGAAACCAATTAAGCTCATCTAAATTATTACTTTTCTTAGTAAAACAAATGCTAATAATCTAAACAGATGAAATTCTACTTACCTCTACTGGTCCATTTGTGTTCTGCAGCAAGGTTATCAGGAAAGTCATTTTGTTGGGAGAAGGAATAGTGTCATATGTTGCCTGCAAGATAAAAAGGTAAGAAACTAATTATAGGAGGAAAGAAAGGAAGAAGAAAAAGAAAAAGGGATGAGGCTGAATGGGTAGTTCAGCCATTAACACCAAATGATGTATTTTTTTTTTGTCATTGCAGTTCTACAACAATTGCAAATATCAACATTTAAATAAGTTCATTTCTGTTTGAATTTCTTGGATAGAGTTATTTATACTATTTACATGTGGACTATTAGCTTCATCTTCGTTATCACATTTTAGTTAGAGCTTCCTCAGGTTTATGTTGATCCGGATAACCTACAGGGAATTCTGAACTAAATTCTTTATTTAATCTACAGAGTTAAAACGGTTTTCTTTCTGCAAATATGAAAGGATCCCATTGAGAACTAGTAAACAGAACATGTCTAAATAATCTTTTTAGTATTGCTCACACTGTTTTACTCACTGTCCAGTCCAGAGATTAAACTTGAAATATCACCAAATTCTATTGGCCCATAGCATAGTAGATATAAGCATTAGTTCATGAATTTGGTGACACAGTAATTGTGAGTTCAATCCCTGAGCTGGGCAATGTGTATTTGGACAATGTAAACAGAGTGAGCAATAATTGAGCATTACTAAAAATAAGCGCTCGATAAGCTAGTATGAATGCACTTGTGAGGTGTCTTACTGCCAGGGAGCAAAATGATAATGCTTGAAAATGCAAACATGCAGCTCATTTCCTAGTTTTCTCAATTCAACTAGCATAGATTTGGCACAAAGCCCCCCCCTCCTATAGACACACACACAAAAAGCACTTCATCTTTGATTGTCAAGTAGCTTAGGCTAATTTTCAGCAACAAATTGTGCTAAAGAGCTGACCTTGTAACAGAGCTTATAACGTGGCAGGTTTGTTTGAAGTCAGACCAAAACCAGATATTTTTTTTATAAAATTCCTCTTCACGCATTGCAAGAATGGGATACTCAATGGCAATTAAAGCCACATTGAAGATGACATCGCTGAAGTCAGTACCTGAAATATGCTGCTGAAGTTCATGCTTATAATCTTTAGAGAGATTGACTTAAGGTGATAACAATACATGCATTTTCAAAAGAACTGCTGAGGCTTCATAATTCTGAAAGTGATTATGAAAAGATTCCACAATCGTCACACTGAACTTTATTTTCAAGATGACCTCACTTGAAATAATCACCCCAGTATGTAGTATATAACCAACCTTTCAGTTTGAAGACTATCTACTGATTTTTGGTCCTCCAACATCATGTAAGAGCATTCTTGAGTAAAAAAACATACTGAGAAGTTATTGGACTGATGACAGGATGCAGAACTGTCCAAGCATGTCTACACTTAATATCTCATATGTATAAATCACTTCCTTTTGAGGAATTCTAACCTAATTTATTCTTTTAAGTTCCATCTTTGCAAACATATCAAAAGCTGACTGTTCAAAATATTGACATCAGTTTACTTTTGATTGATTTATATATAAAAAGTATGACAGGCATAAATAGTGTACCCATACATGGACAGGAAACTGATTTTATAGAGAAATTGCAAGAACTGTAATGAATGAGAAAAAGAGAGGATAAGTTCAGCTGACTTTATTGGTTAGTTAGTGGTCAAGACGGTGGGGAAAAATTTAAAACATGCAAAAATGTAGAAAATTCAATTTTTTTCATTCAAGTCATCTTTGGTATTTACAACTAAGTGTCATACTCATTTTCAATAATCTTATACATATATATATATATATATATATATATAAAAACACACACAAGAAATTAAAATTTAGATTTTCAAAATATTAAAATGGCCAAAATTGCTTCAGTGTGAAGTGGATAGAAAATGTTTTTATTTGAAAAACTAAGCAACAATAAAAGCTATCAACAAAACAATTGCTTGAAAAAAAAAAAAAAAATAAAAAAATAAAAAAAAAAAATTGTTTTTTAAAATTATTTTTAGTACTGGATATGCAGCTTATTTTCATTAAGAACTGCTACTTTGGCATCCTAGCAGATATCAAACTACATTTGATATCACTGTTTGAATTTTCAATTTCTATCACTCACAAATTGAGCCCTATATATTAAATGTAAAATCAAAGATATACTGAAATATTAAAAAACCATTAATGGCTAAATATTGAAGAGGAGAGGGATTATCACTGATTAGGAACATATTCTTACCCAGACAAGTAAAATTAGTAGATGGATGGAACCATAAAAAAAGATAGCAAGATCATGTGTGTTGTGAACAGGAAGTTATTTTGAATTTCAACAGAATCCTTTAATAGCTGCATCAAAAACAGGAATTGATACTTGTAAGGAGTGATCAAAAGATGTTTAAGTTCAAAGTGATGCAAAGCAAATTCAAATTGTGCAGAATATAATTTGTGAACAATCCAAATTTGTTGGCAAAAGCTGGGGCTGCAACATGAGGGTTTCCTTAGAAGGCGAGAGAAAAATATAAACAAGCCACCTGAGGTAAAATAGAAACAGGTCATGAATGGACAATATCAAATCCTGGGTTGGTCCAATGCTATCCAGTTCTGAAACTTTAATTTGTCCTGGAAATCAGAACAATTTCAAGCTGAGATCCAACTGCATACAGCTTTCATGTAAAATACAAATTATTAGCTTTATCAAAAGGTGATAATATACAGTTTTTACATCTGCAATTAGTTTTTAGTTAGTCAGGCCAATAAACTATAGGTAATTGTAAAATTAGCCAAGATATGAACAAATACAATACATGTCAGTCTGGATTTATTTACTTGTATGCCAAGCAATTATTCTACTTAACATAATAATTATAATATGCCGAGTTTATAGAGCATCTCTATAGAGCATTTCTAGGAGACAATGATAAAAGAAAAAGACCATTCAGAGAGCAACAGTATTCACAAGTAGAGTTATATTGTTGGGGGGGAGAGAAAGAGGAACAGGAAAAGGTTTAATTGCATGCACGCGTGCACACACACACACACAAAAACGAATGGATAGTGGAAGCAAATGAACTGCAGAAGGTTGAGAATCAGATGATGTCAACAACTGATCCTCAGGGCATTGCAGAGTTGCTCTACCCACTTTCAGTAGAGTAAAAACTGCAAAACAAACAGTATTTAAAAAATGTTCAATAATAGGAAACAAGTCTTGTTTTGGTCCTCATCTATAAATCTGCAGACTATTTAAACCTATATCTCATGCACAAATGGCAAGCAAGCATGCTAGCCAGACATGTAAAATTGATCACAATATTAACACAAAAGTAAAAAATAAAGATGGACTAAAAAGAAAAAGTGCAATACTTATTTCTCCTTAGATCTTTTGAGCTAAACTTGTGTACTTTAACATGTGTGGCATATGCTAGCATAATTTAATTCAGCTTACATTAAGATATTTAGCCATAATTTTAGTTATGAATTATTCAAAACAAGCCAGTAGAAAAGTATTCACAGCACAAACCAACTAACTTGTTTAAACTGCATTCTGTTAACTTTTCATTCCTCTTGCATTCACTTATTTTAAACATTGTACAAATCTAAAATTAAGAATTGCAATAGGCTATCAACAACCTGCAATTTGCAGTCTGTTTATAGTTTCTTGAATAATGTCCTACTAGCAGTACCTGTGAAAAATCCATGCTTTTCCTAATTTTTTGAGGAATTATATATTTTTTACATTAGTGTTTGAATAAACTCTTTGAAAATTCCACAACTAAAATACCCACAGAAATTACACTATTGCATCATTAAATATTTGAGTTTAACAATTTTAACAAAACATTGCAATAACAATCGTAATTATGAATACAGGTCATTATTTAAAGTAAGAGGGTACAAATGAAAAGATTCAAAATCGACAAGGTTTTCCAAGCAAACATACATATGAGTGTTTTCTGTCATGCATGCATACTTTTTCTCCCTAAAATGAAAGCATTGTTGGTATCTTTTTCTATCTTTCCTTTCAATCAAAATGAAATGGTTCATTATCTGAGGAAATCGCAGGATATAATGCACACACTAACAAAGAAACAAGCAGAATTATGACTCATCTTCACAACTCTGAAATCCAAGTGCAAAATTATAACTCCTATAACTCTTGTGAAAATAGCTCCCAAATTTTTAGAATGCAAATGATAATCAAGTTTAACTAAGATTCCAAATCAATAACAAACTTGTTGAGTGAATGACATTTGGGGGATAAGTAAAAAAGATATCTGTTGATCATTTAATTTGAGTATTTTCCAATATTAGTTTTTAGATTTTAATAATTTAGCTTAGATAGTAAGGAAATATTTCAACACTTATTCAACCAGCAGCTATCAGTTTCTAAGTGGTTGAAAGAAAATAAAAAAAGTCTTAATCTTTAAAACTGTACAAATGTCAAAGAATGTGACCATGTCTAACAAATCAGATGCTTGACATATTCATGGTATTTATATTGTCTACAACTCAATGTTCAGCAGCACAGATGGATTTCTTCAACACAGCAAGATAATGATTTGAGCCAGTCAAGAAATAGAGAACTACTGTCTATATTTTTTTTTCATAACAGACTAATTTTTCATTAAACATAAATACAGTCCAATTCAAATATAAAGCCAATTTAGAACAAGCATTAGTTTTTAAGAGAAACCACAGTAATGTTAAGTCAAATTTCACATTTCATTATCTCCCTGAATGGTCATGATTTAACCAAGTGATAAAAACAGTAAACACTAAACTCGTGTTCATTGTTAATTAATAAGGAGATTAAAGTGTGATAGAGGAGGAAAAAAAACAAAAAACAAAAAAACAAAACAGCACCAAACACTATTACTCAATCAAACAAAACAGTTAATTACTGAATTTGAAGTGTTAATTCTATTTCAAGATTTTAACATTAAAAACTGTAGCAAATTTAAATTAGCTCTATTTAAAAGTGGATAACTTCAGCAAGCATTGATCAGCTTATAATCAAAAGGCTAGATTTTGTATTAACTTAAATGAACAGGCAATAAGTCTTGT